TTAAACTCGTAGATGAAAGTGACATTGAAAATAAAACTAGTATTACTCTATAATTAGATGAATCATCAATTAATTGTTATAATGTTACCTTTATTCATCAAGCAATTGAAAAATATACTACACAACAAAATAAAATACCATATAACGAAGCAGTATTGTGTAATGAATAAAATACGGTATGGTAAAATGCTATCGCATAATGAGATGCAATATCATACAGTATCAATGATAATTGAAATATCACATAATGGAGCATTATCGTACAATGAATGTAATAATTATACAACAAAGCACTACCGTATAATGAATGAAATACCGTATAACAAAATGCTATCGTATACTGGATGAAAATCGCATAATTTATTACTGCCATATTCTTTGTTCATATGATGCATTAATGATATTATGATTCACATGTAAATGAAGAAAAAAAAAGGAGAAAAATGAATGAGGAAAAAGTGGATGAAAAATTTGTGAGTGATTACATTAATGATATGACTTGCAAATGTTTTCTTTTTCATGCCTCATGAATCATTCATGAAGGAGGAAAATTAGCAAACAGTTGGCTAATTAAAAGTGCACTAATTAGGCTTATATTTCAAAGAATTTTTTTCCTTTTTTTCTAATAAGCTAATTACAAAAGACAATAACTGTAATAGATTAGCTAGGAATAAACTTTTAATAGGTAAGTAATTAAGGCAATATTGTAAACTATACAGTAATTACGATTACACTTTTAATAAAAACAGATTGATAACATTTTGATAAACTAACCTTAATCATATATATCGATAAATTAACCTAAATCAAATATGGTAATAAACTAGATTGAATATTTGATATTCCAAAACTTCCAGTATATCCGGTAAATACCGGAATGATTTGTTTGATTAATATGGATGGATTATTCAAATCACCCTAAATATTAGCTAGTTATTATTACTGATTAAATAGCACTAGCAATTAGTGAAAGTTGTAATCCGAAATTCAGGAATTTTAATCATATCATCTCACATATTTAATGTTGATTTACTGTAAAATGATCTCGAAACGCTAACTTCCTTACCGTAGTTTGTAATTAATGAGTCATGGAAAAAATTCCGTTATTGCGTAAATAGGTGAAGTGTTAACTTTGAAATTTATTTATGCGTACGCAAATTACGTTATAGAGTAGATTCCGAACATTTTGATCTATGTAATTAATTAAATTAACTCCATATAAATATTAATTATTCATACGGGAATTTTTTTTTAGTATGTATGTCTATGTATGTCCGAATTTGAATCATTATGTTTAAAATTTATTATTCATATATTAAATTGATATTCTTACAGTAACGTCCGTTAATTTCACAAAAATATATTGCTCATGCTTTTAAATTACATAGTATAAGGACAGTTATTCCGGAAATTCTTGCGAATGTTATCGATTAGTTTTATCTTCTTTATGCGTTATTAATTTCCTTTTCAAGTACTTCATTTCCAAGTCATTGTGACCCTTATAGATCCCGCTGACATATTATTCTCTTTTTTTTTTTGACATTTAGCTATGTGATGTTTTACTTATTCATTCTGTCTTAGTTTATCCCTGTTGTGCTATTC